TCCTGTTCATCTAGGATTGAGAACCACTGATTTTATAAGATTAAACTTGGAAAGATGTATATTAACAGTCCCTCAGCCATTTTTGAGGTTTTGTGCTATCTATTATTATCAATATGGTGATATATTCTTCAGGATAGTCACACATACACAGATACTCTCTCATTAGTAAAAATCCATTTCCTAGAGCCCAATACCTTCAGGCTGGAAATTCTGTGGGAGATTATGGGGGTTGGAGGGGTAGGACATACCCCACAGTGCACAGGAACTATTCTCCTTGGGGTGGGTGCTGAATGGGGTATTCTCTAAGTAGTGCTCAGGGAGCATGTGGTGCCAGAAATTGATCCCAGAGCTCTTCTTTATGCAAATCTATTCCTCAGCAGGAAATATCTGATTTCTTCAATTAAACTATAATTGTCATAGAAATTATTCATTCCCAATATACAGGACAGATTTAATATATATTGCAAAATGATCCAACCATACACATTTGACAATCATTTCTTGTGATGAGAACTTTTTATTTTCTACCATTGCCAGTTACTGGAAGGGAGGAGGAAATGACCATTAGTGTGGATTTTTTGGTTTGTCTGTTTTGTTTTTTTTGTTTGTTTGGGGGGCCACTGGTGGTGGTCAGGGCTAACTCTGGTCTTTTGCTCCTGGGTCACTCCTGATGGTGCCAGGGATAGAATGTTGCTGTAAGCAAGGTAAACACCTTACCCCCACTACTATGTCTTTGGCTCCTGTATATTTTTATATTTGATAGTTTTGTTTGTTTTTTTATGTTGTTAGAGAACAAACCCAGGGCCTCACACTTGTGATGCATTTGTTTTACTTCTGATCCTGTCGCTGATTCCTTTAATGAGAACTTTTCATTTCATTTGGGTTTCTTGGCCATACTGGTCAGTGTTTGGGGACTGTGTGGTGCGGAGATAGAACCAGGGCTTTCCACATGCAAACCATGTACTCTAGCCCTTTGAGTAATCTCTCTGATCTGAACTCTTAAGATACCTCTTTTACTAACTTTCAAAAATATGGCATTGATAATTACAGTCGTATGCTATGTGTATTACACTTCTGTGGTTTATTTTTTCTTTAGATGCTGGATGTAGATCTATATACATATACATCTGTGAAATATATATTTAAAAACACATATATATGTTTTTAAATTCATTCATTGATGGACACTCAGTTCTTTTCATATCTTGGCTACAATAAATAATGCTGAACTAAATATGGTCATGCATATATCTTTTTAAATTAGTGTTTTTTACGTTATTTGGATAAATATCCAGAAATATAGTTGCTGTATGATGTAGCAATTAAATTTTCAATTTTGAGGATCCTCCATAACATTTTTCGTAGTCATTGCACCAATTTACATTCATACCAGTTGTACACAGCAGCTCCCTTTTCTACACATCCTTGTCAACCTTAGCCATTGGGAAATTAATATAAAGACGCCTAAAACTTACTGGAGGAGCAGAAGGAGCAGAATCTTACTCAAGGACCATACATAGAAACAGTATTAGATCTTGATTTCCTGATTTTTTCATGTTAAAATATTCTAGTTGGTGATTTTTATTCTTCCTTGACCAATAGCAGCACAAATACGTCACAAAGGGACATAGTCCTTCTTAATTTTTGTTCATGTTGCTGTTGTTTTGGGGCTACATCCTGTGGTACTCAGGCTTACTCCTAGCTCTCTGTGCTCAAGGATCACTCCTATTGGGCTCATGGGACTATGTGTGGTACCAGGGATCAAATACAGTTCAGCTACATACAACACAAACACCTTACCTGCTCTGTTATCCCTTCGGCCCATGGACACAGCCATTCTTATCTCAATTCAGTATATTTATCACCTAAATTCTGTTTCTTAGCAACCCATTTAAAACCCAATATGGGGAATTTGATACTTCCCATATGCTTACTCCTCAAAAGTTTTCTTTTTTCCTCTAAGGATTTTTTTTATTTTAATGTATTACGAGTATTGCTAGTTATTCAGCCATTGATTAGAATGATTGAATTGGGCATGAATTCCACCTTACTGTTTTTTCTTTTTATAAATTTATTTATTGAATCACTGTGAGAGCAGTTACAAAGCTTTCAGGTTTAAGTCTCGTTCATACAATGATGAATCACCCATCCCTTCACCAGTGCCCATTTTCCACCACCAAAAACCCCAGTATACCCCCATCCCACACCCTCCCCCTACCTGTGAGGCAGATGACTTCCACACTACATTCTACTTTGATCACATTCAATATTTCAACACCAGACCCACCAATATTATTTAGGATTTTACCCCAACACTCAGATCTGCCGAAAAGGCAATAGTAGACAATTTTTTTTCTATTGCTGGTATAACATATGATGTCACTTGCCCACGGTAGTGGCCACGTGATTTTGGAATTATGAAATTTTAACAATTAAATCTGGAGGGATTTCTGCCAAAACCTACTGGGTTCTGAGATTTGTTCCTGAGTCTCTGAGATCATGGGCGTTAAGCAGCTTGATCAGGAGCCAGAGAGGCCATTCGTGGGCTGTGACCCAGGCTCTTGTTGGGGCGGGGAGGAAAGGACTGGCTCCACCCCCATCCCATGTGGCCCCGCATGTCTCGTCACTGTGGGCCCAAATCTGACTGTCAAATAGCCTCTGGGGGATGGCAACCATCGAGCCTCCAGGGGTTACATGCCAGGCACAAAACCTATTTCACCTGGGGGTGGCCAGGCACCGGTAACTTATTGCGGGCACAGACTAATTTCTGCCAAATGCTGCTGGGTTCCGAGATTTGTTTCTGAGTCTCTGGGATCAAGACTGTTAAGCAGCTTGATCAGGAGCCAGAGAGGCCGTTCGTGGGCGGCAACCTGGGGTCTCGTTGGGTGGAGAGGAAAGGGCCGGCTCCACCCCCATCCCATGAGGCCCCGTGTGTCTTGTCACTGCAAGCCCAAACCTTACTGTCCAATGGCTTCTGGAGGATAGCAGCCACCAAGCCACCAAGAGGGAGCAGGTGGAAGGACAGCACCCTTATCCACCCTGGGGTGGCCCAGTGCCTGTAACCTACTGGGGGGACTAGACACATTTTTACCCCAAAAGTTGCTGGTTCTGAGATTTGTTTCTGAGTCTCTTGGATCATGGCCGTTAAGCAGTTTGATCAGGAACCAAAAAGGCCTTGCCTTCAATTATATAGCTGAGCCGGAGGTGGTTTTTGGGTGTGTTTCCCACATACCTAAATTTTAGCTGTTTACTTTCTTGGTAAACTTGGCCCCAAGTTGTTAGGGCCTTGCCAAAGGCACAGCAGCAATTTTGGGGTATCTAGAAGTCTGAAGGCACCATCAGGCTGCTGATGCATTTGCCTCACAGGTACAGATTGACCTGCTGGCAGTACCATACCCCAACTCTAATTTTTTTTTTAATTAAGACACCGTGACCTCCATCAAAAAATGGGGAATAGAAAGGAACAAGCTTCTTCAAAAAAGAAATACAAATGGCCAAATGGCGCATGTAAAAATGCTCCATATTGCTAATCATCAGGAAAATGGAAATCAAAACAGCAATGAGATATCATCTCACACAACAGAGACTGGCACACATTCAAAAGAACAAAAGCAACCAGTGTTGGTGTGGATCTGGGGAGAAAAAGACACTCTTTCACTGTTGGTAGGAATGCCGACTGGTTCAGCCTTTTAAAAAATTCCTTCAAAAACTAAAAATTGAGCTTCTATATGACCCCACAATACCACTTCTGGGAATATATCCTGAGGATACAAAAAAGCCAGTAGAATTGACATCTGCACCTATATGTTAATTGCAGCAATATTCATAATTGCCAGAATCTGGAACAACCTGAGTCCATGAGAACAGATGACTGGTTAAAGAAATTTTGGTACATCTGCACAATGGAATACTATGCAGCTGTAGGAGAGATGAAGTCATAAAATTTGCTTTTAAGTGAATGGACATGGAGATCATCATGCTAATTGAAATGAGTCAGAAAGAGAGGGACAGATATAGAATGACTGCACTCATTTGTGGGATATAAAATAACATGAGACTAACACCCAAAGACAGTAGACACAAGGTCCAGGAATATTGCCTCATAGTTGGAAGCCTGTCTCATGATCTGGGGGATAAAGCAGCTGGAATAGAGAAGGGATCACTAAGACAATGATGTTTGGAGGAATCATTCAAGATGGGAGATGTGTGCTGAAAGTAGATAAACGACCAAATGTAATAACCTCTCAGTATCTGTATTGCAAACCATAATGCACAAGAGAAGAGAGAGAGAGAGTATGGGAGAAATTGTCTGCCATAGAGGCAGCAGGAGGGTTGGAAAGGGGGGTTACACTGGGGACATTGATGGTGGAGAATGTGCATTGGTGGAGTATTGGGTGTTTGATCGTTGTATTACTGAAACTCAAACATGAAAGCTTTGTAACTGTATCTCATGGTGATTCAATTTAAAAATTTTAAATTCCTAACTGGAGCGATAGCACAGCGGGTAGGGCATTTGCCTTACAAGCGGCCAACATGGCCGACCCGAGTTCGATTCCTCCGCCCCTCTCGGAGAGCCCGGCAAGCTACCGAGAGTATTCGATATGCCAGACACAGTAACAACAAAGTCTCCAATGGAGACGTTACTGGGCCCGCTCGAGCAAATCGACGATCAACGGGAGGGCCTTTACTTTACTTACTTTAAATTCCTAACTAGAAAGTTAAAAAAAGCACCATGACTGGCAAAATTACTCATAGTTGAGGTTCAGGCATACAGTATTTTAGCACCATTCCCATTATCAGTGTCAACTTCTATCTACCAGTGTATTTGAGTGCATTTATTCCTTTTTAAGAGTTTTCTCTTTAAGTTGAAGTCTTCATAGCATCCCCCAAGTTCCAGACCGGTTATTTGCTTAGTTGCTGAGCCATTTATTTCTTCATTTTTTCTCTGTAATGCCTTAAGTAATCATCCTAACCCTCCTTTCTGTTTTGTATTACAGTCTTCCTGATTTGCCAAAATGAATGATCTGAAAGAAGGAGAAGGTATGAAACCTGTTCTTACTTCACTCTCTGAAGAGGAAAGTAAGAAATTAATTAAAGTTGTATAGATAGTAGATGGCTTAAGGCACTTGCTTGCATGTGGCCAATTCCAGTTCAATCCCCAGCACCAGGAGTGGCTCCTGAATACTGCTGTGCATGGCCTAACACCCTGCCCTGAAAAATAACAGAGTTTTGGGAATTCAGTGATCCAACAACAAACCCAATCACCAGTGCCAGTGTCCCTCCACAATTACCCGTTTCTATACTTCTCTTTGTATATGCATTTGCATGCAGGTCACTGTGTTTATCTGTTAGTTAGCATCAGCAATGCCTTGTTTCCCATGAATAAGTTAGAGTCAACAGACACTCCAAGAGAAGCAGTAGTCTAATATCCAGTGAAAAACCCAAATACCAGATACAGTATTTCAGGTAATGTATGTCTCTTATATTCATGCCTAAAACTTTCTCTGTTGATCAAGTTGATAAAAATTCTTACATTCTAAATATGTGTATGTAGGAAATTCTTATGCTTTTCTTTTTGATGAGACAGGCTATAAAATACTTTTGTCGGCAAGCTAGAATAGAAAATAGATGACATAAGTTCTGAATTGTGTTTCTGTTTGGCGAACAGTGAAACAGAATGACAGTAACAGTATGGCTTGGAGTCAGAGAGATAGTACAGCTAGTAAGGTTGTATGTGACTGACGGTGCCCCGAGCACTACCAGGAGTGATCCAGCTGCATAGAGCCAGGTGTAAGTGCTGAGCACCATTGGGTATGGCTCCCAAACCAAAAACAGAACCAAAAAATATATGGCTCTATCTCTGTATACTTCAAGTTTTGGTAAGAAGGTATATTTGTAATGCTCTTAACTCCAGTTCTTTTCGTTCCACAGATGACTCAAATCATCTGGCCTCACTTTCATGGGAAGAACTTGCAGGTCTTTTATGTTTTATTCTCTTTTTTGGGGGGGAAGGTTTTCTTCCATCTTTAAACTGATTTCTCATCTCCACTCTTCAAATTTCTTCCCCCATATTCTCTGGGACAAAAATCAGTGATTTTTTTTTGACATAAACCTTCAAATTATCATAAAAATAGGACATCTGTATACTATACAGTAGATATTATATATATTATATATATATATACAGTAGATACTCACTGATAGTAATGATTAACCAGCACTGTAGCAATGTCCTCCTGTTGTTCATCGATTTTGCTCGAACAGGCACCAGTAACGTCTCACAACAAATTGTGAGACTTGTTGCTACTGTTTTTGGTATATCGAATACGTCATGGGTAGCTTGCCAGGCTTTGCTGTGCGGGCGTGATACTCTCGGCAGCTTGCCAGGCACTCCGCGAGGGGCAGAGGAATTGAACCCAGGTTGGCTGCATACAAGGCAAACACCCTACCCGCTATCGCTCCAGCTCAATGATTAACCAGATGTTAGATAAATGTGGCCGACGTACAACCAGATGTTACATAAAGGTTGTTAAAATAGAAGTTTGCTCTGAAATAATCTCTACGGATGTCAACAATTACAAGTCAAATTGAGTTCGGGGCTTGTTTTTGTAAACAATCTTTCACTGGAGAAGAATCATATTCATTCTTTAACATATTGTCCATGGCTGCTTTTGCGTTTAAATGACAGAATATTGAGCAATTGTGGCAAAGACGCCACACACACACACACACACACACACACAGAAAAACCATAAACTACTTAAGATTTACAGAGGGACCTAAGCAATAGTACAGCAAGTAGGCACTTGCCTTGCACATGGCCAAACTGGGTTCAATATCTGGCCTCCCATATCGTCTCCTGAACACCGTCAGAAATAATTTCTGAGTGCAGTGCCAGGAGTAATTCCTGAACATTACTAGGTGTTCCCACCCCCCCCCCCCCAAAAAAAACAACAAAAATTAGTTTTACAGTAAACTTTTGCCTATCAGTATCAATAGTATCCTTCAAATAGTAATCTTCAGCTTACTATTTGGGAGTTAATGACTTTCCTTTTATGGAGTCAATGAGGACCATAAAATCCTGGGTCAAACAAATGTATTTGGGAGGGGATGAGTTTTGAGCCACACCTGGTGATGCTTGAGGCTTAATCCTGATCGTGTTTAGTGAAACATATGTGGTGCTGGGGCTTGAACTGGGTTCCACTGCAAGTTAAGCACCTTAAAGTCCTCTACTGTCTCTTTGACCCCATAAATGGATGTTTTAAAATAACTGTCAGATATTTCAGGGCCTTTTATTGCCTAACATTATGCAGTTAGAAGTACAAATAGGGGATTAGGGATGCATTCTTGTCATCTTATTTCACCATAGAACAGTTTTCTGTAGCTCTCCTATTAATATCCTGAAAAAGTGTTATAAAGAACATTCATTTGGGAAATGCTGGCATAGGCATTCAGTTAACAGAAGTTTGAACTTGAAAATTGATTCATTGAGTTACTTTTTTCTATTTGCAGGAGATGCAATAGTTTCATAGTATAGTATAGCACATAGACTGTGGCTTTAGATCAGGCTGAATCTTAATCTCTTCTACTTTTTGGTTGCCAAATCTTGTACAAATTGCCAAATGATGCAAGCAGATGCAAATAGGGTATAGTGAAAAATGACAAGGCAAGACCTCTTGTTTAAAAAGTATCAGAAAACTTTTACATCAACCACAGTACATCACTTCACTGAGCATGGATCCTTCTGAATATGAGACCTATGCACTGAGTGTACTCAGGAACCTGTCACACCCTAGATGGAATTTTCCATTGACACAATTTAAAAATATAGTGGCCAAAGAAATAGCAGAGTGGGTAAGGTTCTTGCCTAATAGGTCCCCGAACCACACCAGTAGTAATCCCTGAGTACAGAATTAGGAGTAAGCGGTGAGCACAACTGGATATGGCCTCGAAACAAAATAAATGTGTATAGTACTTGTTTCATGGGAGCCCTGGAGAATTCTATTATCATGAATGTATATAAAAGGCCCAGTGCAGTGTATGGATCATAATAGGTGTTTAAATTTTATTTCTTGTTTTATTTTTATTTTTGGGTCACAGCTCAGAGGCTGGGTGAGCACAACTGGATATGGCCTCGAAACAAAATAAATGTGTATAGTACTTGTTTCATGGGAGCCCTGGAGAATTCTATTATCATGAATGTATATAAAAGGCCCAGTGCAGTGTATGGATCATAATAGGTGTTTAAATTTTATTTCTTGTTTTATTTTTATTTTTGGGTCACAGCTCAGAGGCTGTTCTTGGCTATGCTAAGAAGTGATCCCTGGCATTACCCAGGGTACTCTATGCAGTGCCAGGGATTTAACCTGGGTTGACCACACAGAAAGGCAAATGCCTTAATCCCTGTATTATGTCTCCATCCTGATAAAGTGCTTGTTTTAAATTCAAGAACATTTGGGGCCAAAGAAATAGTAGAGTAGCTAGGTGCTTGCCTTATATGGCAGCCCACCCAGGTTCCATCTCTGGCACCCCATATATCCACGAATCCCAGGAATGATCTTTGAGTGCAGAACCAGAGTAATCCCTAAATCCCACCAGCTGTGGCTCAAAAACAAATATATAAATCAAGAACATTTTTAGTCAAAATTAATAAATATTTATTGAATGCATAGAGTTTGGCACCATTCTAGGTGCTCAGGGATAGTATTTGAAGAATACAGATAAGGTCCCTGCCATGATAAATAATTATTTAGTGAGGAAGACAAATCATAAAAAATTAAGATGATTATAAATTATATGTGCTATGGAGAGAACTTAGGGCACTAGGAGAGTGAATAGTAGAGAAGGCTGACTTTGTTTTTTATTTTTATCTTTTATTGAGATTCTTTAGTTTACAATGCTATTAATAAATGTTTCTCATGCACATAATTCCAACACCGATGTAACCCCTCCTTCTCCCAAGGGCCCCAACCCCACTTCCTCTCACTTCCCCCCACCAATTCAGTTGTGTGGGTCAGTTCTCCCATTATGTTACGGTTAGCCCTTTGCTGCTGCCTTGTTGCCTATCTTTAAGTCCCACATATGAGATATATCTTTAGGTATCTATCCCTTTCCTTTTAACTTCACTCAGCATGAAATCCTCTAATTCCATTCATGTTGCTGAAAGTTGTATAATTTTGTTCTTTCTTAGCGATATATAGTATTCCAGATAAGAATGAGTTTAGAGTGGTCAGACTATCTGCTTCTAGGAGAGTTATGTTTTCACTGAGCTCTCCATGGGCATATCAGAAGGAAAAGTGTTCTAGGCAAGAGACTGTAGCTAGAAAAAAGACCCTGAATTGGGGGAGAACAAAGCATCTGTGAAAAACTAGAAGTAGTCAGTATAGCTTTTGTGTAGGGAATAAGAAAAACAAAAACAATTGAGATGAAGAGCTAAGATAGTATATGGGTTGAACTTTTTGCCTTCCATGCAGCCAACTCTGTTCCTGCATATGGTTCCCAGTACCAACTGGAACAACCGTCTGAGCAGCAACTCAACTGACTTCCCTGAGCACAGAACTTAAGAGTCGCCTTGCAGCATTGCTGGTCCAAAACACCCATCATTGAGACTGAGGAATAGAAGAAAGGAGAGTGTAGATTTGTAACACCATTACAGAAGGGAAGGCCTTGGGACCTTTAAACTAAGCAAGATAAAAAACCTTGAAAGGCTTTTTTGTTTAATCTTTTACATGATCTAATTAGGACTGTAGAAGATCACATTGGCTGCTGTGTGAAGGGGAGGTGTGGTCTCTTTCAGCAGTCTAGGAAAGAGTTAATACTAACTTAAACTTGGGTGGTGCACTTGAATGAATTAAAGACTTGTTTTGGATGAATAAATGATGAGTCTAACGATCAGGTGTGTTGGAATGAAGGGAGAGTGGCACCATGAAATGTATGGAGAGGGCTTTTCTTGGGGTCAGGGTGGGATTACAGGATAGAAATCTAGAACTCAGCTTGAGATATAAAATTTTGGAGCCTTGGAGACATTAAGTGGAGATGGCAGTGGTGGCAGTACCGTGGTTAACATGGTTGTATAGGATTCTGTGACTACTAACTCTTGGTGTTACCTTACTAGATTACCGAGAAGAATATAAAAATTATCTCAAAGAAAAATACCTGAAACTAGGAGATGATCAAGGTTATCAGCATGGCAAGCATATAGATTCACGACAACTTATTGTAAAAGACTATATTGTAGCAGAAATAAAAGAGTGTGGAATTCCTCAAGAAGATCAGTTTATTGAGCTGAAGCATGTCTTTGATCCTGATGAAGAGGGCTCCAGCTCGTCCCCAATAGTATTGCTTCAGGGATATGCTGGGAGCGGGAAAACAGCCATGGTGCACAAGTTCCTGTTTGACTGGGCAGAAGGAAGGGTTACTCCAGGCAGGTTTGATTTTATCATTTACATAAACTGCAGAGAACTAAACCCTAGTGTTCACCTCAGTGCTTCTGACCTGATCACTAACACTTTTGAAGAGCTGGATGGACCTATCTTGGACATTGTTCTGATGTACCCAGAGAAGCTTCTATTCATTTTTGATGAATTTCCTCAGCTGCAGCACCCTGTAGGTGAACAGGAAGAGAATGTCTATGCCGATCCCCAGAAGAAAGAGCCAGTTGACACCCTCTTATGTAATTTTCTGAGGAAACAAGTATTTCCTGAATCTGCTCTCATGATAACTGCTCGGTTTTCAGTCATGAAGCAGTTCCACTCTCTGTTAAATGAACCTCTCCTGGCAGAAGTCCTTTGGTTTACAGAGGATGAAAAGAAATCATATTTTTTAAATCAGTTTTCAGATGCTAATACAGCAATGAGTATCTTTCGTAATCTGCAGGAAAGTGAAAGCCTTGACATTTTGTCTTCTCTTCCTATCGTGTCCTGGATGGTGTGCAATGTTCTGCCAGGAGAGGATGACAAGATGTTTATGAGATCACTTCAGACTGTGACAGATATGTATGTGTTTTACTTTTCCAAGTGCCTCCAAACCCTTCCAGACATCTTGATATGCAAGGGACAAAGTTGTCTGTGGGGTCTTTGCTCTCTGGCTGCGGAGGGACTGCAGAAGCACCAGATTCTATTTGACATTAGTGACCTCAGAAGACACGGGATTGAAGATTTTGACACCAGTGGCACATTTCTCAGTCACTTTTTGGAGAAAACCGAAGGTGACGCCAATATCTACACTTTCCTTCACTTCAGTTTTCAGGAGTTTTTAGCTGCTGTGTTCTATGCACTGCAGAATGACAGCGATTGTATGATTTTAAATCAAGTAGAAGAAATGCAAGATTTATTCTGGTATGGAAAAGGGTTTTCATCATTAACCATAAAGTTCTTATTTGGCCTCTTACATAAAGAGAACGAAAAGGCTATAGAACTCACTTTTGGGCAAAAAATCTTTGAAGGACTTCTAGAGGAGTTACTGCAGTGGACTGAGAGAGAAATAAAGACGACATCTTTTGGGTATCAGGTTGAGCCCATGGACTTGTTTCACTGTTTATATGAGCTGCAGGAAGATGACTGTGTGAAAAGGCTAATCTGTGATTTAAAGTCCATCGTCCTGTACCAACCTACTTATACAAAAATGGACATTCTGGCTCTGTCATTCTGTGTCAGAAACAGCACCAATGAACTGTCGGTGACTCTGAAATGTCAGCACCTACTTGGATTTAAGAAGGAAAAAGATGATTTAGCTCTAGCTCCCGTTACATCAGACTTGACAGTTACTGAGTGAGTATATTCACATATTTCCTGTTGTTTTTTCTTTAAGAAATGCTGAGCCTATTTGTTTATTCCATTTAGTCAGGTTACATGATCACTTCCAGCATTATCATTGTATAAAATGAATAGGGGACAAAGTGCTATATAAGCAGCAGGTGAGTCACTCACCTTGCATGCAGCTGACACAGGTTTGATTCCCAACACTGCACACAGTCAGTCACCTGGGATCTGCCAGAAGGAATCCCTGGGCACGTAGCTAGAAGTAAACCCTGAGCACCACCAGGTCTGTCCCACAAAACAAAATAATTAATGGAAAAGAATTCTTTCATTCCTATACTTCATCTTTTTATGAACTATATCTCATGCATTAAACACTGGCCTAGGTAGAGGGAAGGCTGATATTTTTAGCACTATGTGCCAGGCATAGTGTTAGCAACTGTGTACATATGTGTATTAGTCATATCCCTCTGTGAATGTGCTTTATAACTGTACCTATGGTCATGGAGATCATCAAGATTATTGAGAACTCTGCTATTTCACCCTAAAGGAAAGAGAGCAAAAGGGAATGCCCTGCCATGGAGGTGGAGTGGGGTTGGGGGTGGGGGAATGGGAGGGCTACTGGGTTCATTGGTGGTAGAGAATGGGCACTGTTGGAGGGATGGGTACTTGATCATTGTATAACTGAAACCCAAACACAAAAATATGTAAGTCTACAACTGTACCTCATGGTGTTTCATTAATAAAAAAATTGGGGAGGTGAACAGACACTTTCTTAAAGAAAATAAACATATAGTGAATAGGTATATAAAAAAAAATAAAATCCTTGGAGACCAAAAGAAAAAATAAACAATGAGGCCTCAGAGAACTCTTGATTCATAAGGGGCAGAGCTACACTCCTGAATGGCTATAAAGCCTGTGCCTCGTCCACCAGATCATTTAACCTTTTTAGGTTAGGGCTGGAGCGATAGCACAGCGGTAGGGCGTTTGCCTTGCATGCAGCCAACATGGCCGACCTGAGTTCGATTCCTCCGCCTCTCGGAGAGCCCGGCAAGCTACCGAGAGTATCTCGTCTGCACAGCAGAGCCTGGCAAGCTCCCCGTGACATATTCGATATGCCAAACACAGTAACAACAAAGTCTCCAATGGAGAGGTTACTGGGCCCGCTCGAGCAAATTGATGATCAATGGGAGGGCCTTTACTTTACTTTACTAGGTTAAGGGCTGAAGTTCAGAGGCTTAGGCAAGCCACATATACCAGGGTCTAATGGTCCATGCCCATTTCCAAAAAATCAGTAGCTGAATCTGTATTCCTGTTACTGAATTTATGAGACATCTTAAGCTTTCCTTGAAATTTAACCCAAAGAGCTCCTTTCCTATTTGTGTTGAGTAAGTGAACTTTACCCCAATTCTCAATTATCATTAATTATTTTAGTGCTGACAAGAGTCAGTAATATTGTAAAAGTGATTTGAGCTAGTCACTAGAAATACACTATCTGTCCTGGGTTAAGGACGAAATAATTAAACATTTTCTTGCCTCTGTGCCTGGTCCTTAGTAACATAACTTTGAAGCTGGACAGATTTGAGAACTGACTTCAGTTTTTTTCTTCCCCATGTGACCTTGAGAAAATTACGTATTTATATGTGTGGTGGGGTAAACTTTGATATACAAAATAGGTTAATACCGACTGAGGTTTGTTGGAAAAAGTTAGTATGGTAATAAAATCCTTTTACTTAGAACTTTGTTTTGCCAATCCAGGTTCAATTCCCGGCACTTCATGTGATCCCTGAGTACTACAAGGGATCACTCCTGAGTAGAGAGCCAGAAATAGCTGCTGAACACTGCCCACTGTGACCCCCCAAAAAATAATGGGAGAAGAGAGAGAAAGTATAGAGTAAGACACTTACCTATACTTGCACACAGCTGACCATTGTTCAATACCCCAACGCTGCATATGTTCCCCCCTCAAATGATCCTCTGAGCACTACCAAGAGTGATCCCTGAGCAGAATCAGAAGTATACCCTGAGTATACCCAGATGTGATCCAAAAACATTGTTTTAAATTTTTGCTTTCTCATTTCTTTCAGGTCACCACTACATTTTCTTTGCCAAACAATGCTAACTTCATGCTGTAAAGTTCGAGAACTGAAGTAAGTTGCCCTCGCTTTAAATTTTTATGCATTCATAGGTCAAAACTGAGTAGCTGGCAGACTGGAGGGATAGTAGAGTGGGTAGGGTGCTTGCCTTGCATGTGGCTGACTTGAGTTCAGTCCCTGGTGCCACACATGGTTCCGAGTACCTCTAGATGTGATCCTTGAGTGCGGAGCTGGGATTAAGCCCAAAGCACAGCCAGGTATGCACTCCCTCCCTACTCCCCAAAGGGCTGAGTGGATGGAGGGGCCAGGGTGGATGGAGGGGCCAGGGTGATAGCTCAATAGGCTCTGTATACAAGAACCTGGGGTTGGATCCCAGGCAAAGATCCATCAGTTATAGCCCTCCAAACTCAAAAGCAAAAAGAAAAGAAAAAAAATGCACAAAATACACTGGCTGGAAAGTTTACTCTCTGCTGATCACAAGAAAATGAAGTATAATTACTACTCAACTTTTACACAATGAAGAACCAAATCAGTATAAGCTGTAATGCTAGATGGATCATATTGGAGTCAGGCACAGAATCCTGCCAGACCCTCTTGCCTCTTTACTTTTTGTTGTGCTGCTTTTGCTGTACAAGTGGGCAGCCATCTGTAACACATAAGACATTTTGCCCACTGCTTCTCCTTACCCTATTCCTCCCTTCCTTTTTCCTTCCAGATGCCTATTGTTCTGCTCTTGGTTTTCTGTTGAGGCCTATCCCACTCCAGATATCTTGGTACTGGTTTGCTTTCCCTTCTCCTCCCATACCTTACAGGTATTCCTCAAAATACTACGGCTCAGAAGCCTCCGCCCCTGCCCTGACAATATGTCCTAACTCCTAAGCATCTTATCTGCTTGTCTTTCCATGCCAGGAATGTACAGGCAAGAGCTGCCTTGGTTTCCCACAACCTTACTTACCCCCACAGAAGAGCATCTTCCCTCTCTCCTCTTCCTGTCACAGAAGAGGTTGCCATCCCAAACCCAAAGCAAGAACTTTCACTTCGCATTTCAAAAACTTCACGAACCTTTATTTTAATTCAAACTGCACACAAGACAAAATTTCTAAATTTCTTCTACCCTAACCCCTTACCTTTTGCCTGCACATCCCCAATCCTGGTCCCAACTCTCCCGAGTTGCAAGGCTTTATTAAGCGTCTTGATACACCATTTTCTGGTGCTTATTCAAATATATTTCTGTAACATAAGGCATACGTGAATTTGTGGTTTTTGTTTCACACATAAAACAAACCAAATGACATTGATGTGGCTCCATTTCAAAAACGTTAGGGCTCAGCAACCATCAGGCCCTCACACTGAGCTGACCGGCCTAGTTTGAAGAAAGCCACTGCGAGTGTACACTGGGACCCCCTAGCACTGTTTGGGAGGCCTCCCCCAAACAGAAATTGAAGTTTATCATTGTGAACAAAGTAGTGGACATGTCTCCAATCCAGTATGCAGGAGAACCTCATTCTTGCACATCTTACGTTTCCACTCTCTTCAGCTGTCTCCTTTCCCTTGGACCTGGTTCTCTCAGATTCAAAAGATCCTTTTCTCAACCATATATCTGCTTCCCTTCACAACCAGAAGCCTTCCATTGGGAGCCTTCCTTGTGATGACTCCCCCTTCATTCGAGCTCCATCACACTTTCCTGCTTGTCCACTCCTTTTTTTGGCTTCAGCCCCTTTCCCACACAGATGTTAAAGCTCAAAGTACATACCAACAGGGAACACTTTTTACCTCCTATTTTAGTGCTCAAGCCTCAACCCTTCCAGTTTTAAAAAACATGCTCCCTTGCCAACTGTGATCTTCTTCTTTTGATTTCATAAGGACTTCAATGCCTGGAAGGTTCCCAACCAGAGTCAAATCCAGTGGACGAGTGACCATATCTGTAAATATTTTTGCTTGTCACCACTGGGGTTGGGCTTGGATGGGGGATGGTCTATAAGCATATAGTAGACAGAGACCAGTAATTATGCTAAATATCCTAGCTTACAGGCTGGCCATCTGTAACAAGGTACAATTCAATGTCACATGTCCATAATGCTGAGATTTGGAGCTGAAGCAATAGCTTAACAGCTTCATTACATGCTTTGCATGAGAGAGACCTGGGTTTTATCCTCAGCATCATACGGTGCCTTCACTTCAAAAACAATTGCCAAGCACAGGGCAGGAGTAGCCTCTGAATACCACCAGGTAAGGCCAAAATACCCCAAAACAAAAACAAAGAATGTTAAGATAGGGAAATGTCACAATAGAAATATATACAAGCTCAAGAACATTCTGTTGAGGACAGAGGAGATCTGTGGTCCTTAGTCTTTGGAAGAGTGTCCACATCCACACTTGCCCCAACAAGAAATAGTTCAGTTTCAAGATCAGCTACTGCAGAGATGTCACAGACCATCATAGCTTCTGTCTCCGGGTTATTAGGCTCTGGGTGATCACAGGGCTACTCCAGCTGTTCACCATTTTAGTCCTGATGTTGACTCCTCACCATCTTTCCTTCAACCTGCAGGCTAAACCATATTTTTAATTTCCTAAAACACTGCCTAGTCAGCAAAGGTTATGTATGACATGGGGGCCCCAGAGCAGGAAATATTAAAACCATCCCCCCACTAAACCCACCCCCTCAGTAAATTGATGTTCCAGTGAATGTGTACTAGTTCACATTTCTGAATCCACCAAGAAAGTCTTAGCCAAATTAGCAACCCCCCCCCCCCAACATTTGCCACTTGCTGTATTGGTGTCAGAAGAATCCTCTGGATAGCCCAACATTCTGCTCAGTGGTCTAAACCAACAAACACTTTGGGCATTATCAGTGGCTGACTCACCTGCTTGGCAGTGGCCTAAATTCTCTGTTGAGATCAATTTCTAGTTGTCTGGGACAGACTGGAGCAGAATTTCCAGTGGCTCTTCGTCGTGGTGCTGAAGATCCATGGTTTGTTTGCAGTCATCTTTTCTAAAAAGCCTTGAGTGGTTCCCTGAGGGGTGACAAATATCTGCATTCTGTAAGTACAGTGTTAACCCTCAGGCTTGTTTTGACTGTTTTTCATGCTACAAACTCACTTAGAATGGGTTTCCTGTACACTTCATGCCTGGAAATTTGGTATCCTTGCTCCCCGTTGTTCACTGAGGCAGCTCCCCAGACAGTTGCAATGATGGCCTGTGGTTTGCAAGGGCTTTTCTGGTACCAATTTTTGGCTTGGAAATAATCTGACTTCCCAGAGCAGGAACCCACTCAAGTTAACTTAAAAGGAAAAGGAGTTATTCACACAACAGCAGAAAGTGGAAGAGTGACCATTCTCCACATCTATGGAGTCCCAGGATCAACCAGTCGTTGCTTTTCAAAGTTTGTGGATCTGCTCTCTGGGACCTCATCCTGGGATGAGAGGTGCTCATTTTGGCTTAGTTTCTTTGTAGTTTTGACCTTAGTCCCAGCTCCCCATGATTTGATATGAAATAAGCCTTTGCTCAGATTCTCTAGGAGTGGAATGTGTTTGGATCAGGATAAGCCAGATGCACACACAACCCTGCCCCCATCATCTAAGGCCTAGGTGGGGGAATGATGTCTTATTATTTGCATGGCTGCCAGGGTCCACCAGACACAAGGTGGGGTAAAGGCGGAAACAAAGGCTCAACAGTGGGGCTGGAGAGAGTACAGTGTGTAAGGCACTTGCCTTGTATGCAGCCAACCTTGTTTCAATCTTTACCACCATCCCAACCCCTCCAGGAGTGATCCGTGAACTCAGAGCCAGGCGTAGTCCCCCAAACAAAGTAAAAAATAAAAAGAGCTGCAGCAATCTTGAATATTGATGCTCTCGAACACAATACAAATAAGTCAATAAAAGAATTCCTCCCCCTCCCTCTAGATCCTTCCCCATTTCCCCCCAATATCCCACTCACCTCTCCTCCTGCTTTCCCTTTCCCCTTTCCCTCTGAAAATAAATTTTCTTTGGGATATATCTCCATGTTGCTTTTAATTTCTGGATTCACTAATGGCTGTGTAGCCAGATCCCCTCCCACAGAGGTAGCAAATTTCTCTGTGTGAAAAATTCACAGCCTTACACCAGGTGCAGTTCCAATTCCCGCGCCTGCTAAATGTTGAGGTTCTTCTCTGATGATGGGGATTGTAATCTTTCCTCTCTCTCTGAGACTTGGGAGGGTCTATCCCTTGAGCCTCCTTATCAGACAATGGGGGGATGTCACTGGACCGCCAGGGGAAAGCTGTCTGAGGCATGGCTGGTGGAGACAGTGATGAATCTGCTGGGAAGGCGTTGAAAGACATTGGATATGAGTATGTAAATGAAGCAGGCAGCTGGATAGGAAGGAGTGACAAGGAGGTTCTGGACTCTGGCATTTGCATCCCAGAGAAAGAAAACTGGCCTGAGTTCAGTGATCCAAATTCTTCCTCACCTCCAGAGCTGTGATTGTCCTTGGAGTTGTAATCCATTTTTCTACCCACCTTCCCCATCTTTACCTCCTGTAAACGACCTTCCTGTCTTCCTGCAGCTGTGACAGGTGTGGAGGTAGCCGTAGTCACCAAGTCAAACTTCTCAGACTCCCTTATTCCAGTCCCATAGGCAGGAGCCAGGCCTGGTTTCTCTGTGATCCTCTCCCCAGAACACCCCATCCCATGGAGAAGAGTGGGTATGGCTGATCTACTCTCTGGGGATGAAGATAGAGTAGGGATGAGGCCAAGATCTTGACTGAAGGAGGGACCAGGACTGAGGCTTTCGCCTGGACCAAGGACATGGCTGTAATTGGGGCTGGAGCCTAGGACAGAACCTGGGCCAAGGCTAGGTCTGCATTGGAGCTTGGGTCCAAGGCCAGGTCCAGCACCAAAGCCTGGGCTAGAGCTTAGGAGGCGGCAGCAACAAGGTCCAGAATCGAGGTGAGGACAGTGGCAAGGGCGGGGACTGAGGCCAGGATAAAAGACAGAGCCAGGTCCGGGACCGAGACTGGGGCTCGGGCCAAGATAGGAACCTGGGCTGCCCAGGTTTCTGGGGTCACCAGGGCCAGGG